GCTAGACATGTAGGGTTCAGGTATAGGGTCTTGGGCCTGCAAGGGCTCAGGGATGCAAGGGCCTCGGGTTCAGGGAGTGTTGTCGGCTTGGTATTCTGAGTTTAGGCCTAGGCCCTGCTGGCTCGTTGTTAGCACTGAGGGCTTTTGCCTTAGGGTTTAGGCCCTGCTTGGTACTTGGTGCACGAACAGATCGGACGCTGAGGTCGTAGATCTCGGGTAGATTGGCGTATATGCAAAGCCTAAGCCCCTAAACCCCGAAACCCCTAAACCCTAAACCCCTAAACCCCTAAACCCCTAAACCCCTAAACCCTGCAGTTTCACCGGTTTGGAGCCTGGAACCCACCGACCCTACCGACGACCAAAGAGCCTCACCAGAAGATGGTCTCACGAAGTCCTGCACGGATGCAGTGTAGCCTACAGTGTACCTACAGTCTGCGGTTTAGGGTTTTGGTTTACGGTTGGGGTTACTGTAATGTAGTATACTTGGAGGATCATGGGACTGAGTAAGTAGGGTTATAAGTACCTTAATTGGGGTTATAAGTAGCTATAAGTAGAGTTACCCTAATTATGACCCTAGTTACTAAGTCCCATGATCCTTTAAGTAGCGATCAACTTTTCGAAGAACCAGGGCTGAAGCGAACGAAGGTGAAAGCTTCCTTCCACCGTTGCGGCCCGATCCTAACGATATTGACACACGGCCTGTCCGTGGCTTGGCTTCGAGCTGAATGCTTCATTCGGTTGATGATATAAATCCTGCATTACCCATAATAAGGAACATACCATAATTTCCATAGTTTAGGGCCCTCAAGGTAATGCAGGATTTATGTCATCAACCGTAGCTGCTACGAGTTCGCTGCAGATACGGGTTCTGATGATGACGGGCTTTGCCTCTTACTTTCATTGATGAAGCCGTCGTTGAGACTGTCAGTTGTTCATCATTGTCAGTACCGGCAGTTACGGGCACCTCGATTGCTTAAGTCGGATACAAGATTGTAGCTGTTGAGATAGCAAGAAAATTGTCTGCAAGGTGCACCGATTTGAAGCGTTTGCCCAGTGCTGGACTCAAAAGCTTTGCCCGGTATCTGAAATGGCTAAGGACAGCGGCACATCCCTGAGTGCTGCATGTTCACAAATTGGTTCGGTAGCTGAATACATCTTCCCACTGCTCTGCTCGGACCGCTTGCCGACACTCCGCGACGCACATTGCCAAAACCCAGCAGTTTCGATAGATCAGCAGATCCGCTTCGAAATGTGTAACTTCTGAGCCCAACCCCCCTGTCGTTGCCCTACAAACCTCTAAACCAGAAGTATAAGCCTCATGAAATGCGAAGGAGGATTGACAGGTTGAGTACAGCATAGATATCTGAGGGATGCACGGCCACATTCTTGCAAATTGTGTAGGCTTCTATTCTACATCTTTACGGAGGTATTCTTTACGTGCAGTTTCAGGAATGTAACCCAACGTGGGCCTTCAGGCTTAGGATATAGGATATAGGATTCAGGATTCATGGCTTAAGGGGGCTTGGACGGGAAGCCGGGGGTTGAAGCTGCAAACGCGTCTTCGCCCCCAACTTTTCTACCTCAGTCCTCACTGACTTTCTCAAGCCACAAACCAGCGATGCAATTCCAGAAAAGGCCCCATCTTCGAACTGGAAGTAATCGCATGTTCCCGATTTGAAACATGAAGGCTGAGTGTGTTTGGGTGTGCGATTCAAGTGTGCCCAATGTAATGGTTCAATACTGCAGGTCTTCTGTCGATGTTCGGGTGTGATACTTTCCGAGGTGGTGGATTCGGTTGCTGCAAATGTTCTTTATGTTTTGCTTTCGGGATTGGATCTTGGCAGCTTCAGGACCAAGCATCTTAGCTGAGAAGTATTGAGCAAACACATACTGTCGAATCCCGCACAAACCCAAGCCTAGATATCTCCAAACCCAAGCCTTATCGCGCTCACCGCGCAACACTGCCTTCTGCACGCGCCTTAAACCCTAAACCCTACTGTGCGCGCAATCCATGTCTCACCTGCGGGACCATTGGACGGGCGGGAGGGAGACAAAAAATCTTCGGGGCACAACCTCCTGGTCAAAACAATGCCATGAACCGTGTAGCTGGAGGTTAGAAACCAAGAAGCCCTAGTTAGTCTATACATATATCTCAGGTCTGACGGCTTCTCAGAGCCCTTTGAGGGCAGGATTCGGATTTTTCGCCAACAGTTAGGGAGTTAAGGACCCGTTAAGATTCCTAAGGCCCTCTTACCCTCATGAGCTTCCTTTCGGCCCCTACCTTAACCCTGAACAACCTACCTTTTGAGGGATCCTTTTTATGATTTCCTTATATAGGTCCTTAGAAAGGTAGGTTATTCAGGCTTAAGGTAGGGGCTGAAGAATTCAAGTTGGAAATGTGCTTGCTTGGCCGTGGAACTTCCAAGGCTTGGCAACCTTCCTGGGCTTGGGCTCCAGGGTTTTAGGGCCTCTGCCCCAGGAATTGCTGTATTTTGAGTGATTTAATTTTTTTTTGATCCTTATTTTAGTTTTTTTGATCTTTCCATTTAATTTTTTTTGATCCTTATTCAATTTTTTTTTGATCCCTCACCCTGGGATAGGGGTTAAAAAAATAAATAATGATCAAAAAAACTAAATAAGGATCAAGAAAAAGTTAAATAAGGATCAAAAAAAATTAAACGGGTATCCGCGAAAGGAAGGGGAAAAAGGAAGGAAAGAAAGACAGAGAGACAGAGAGAGAGAGAGAGAGAGAGAAGGAAAGAAACAAAGAAAGAACGAAATAAAGAAAGAATAGGAAGTAAGAAAGAAAGCAAGGAAGAAAGAAAGCACGAAAGAAAGAACAAAATAAAGAAATCAAGAAACAACGACAGAAAGAAAGAAAGAACAAAAGAAAGAAAGAAAGAAATAAAGAAAGACAGAAAGCCATGCAAGAAATACAGAAATAATTCTGTTATATTGTATTGTTGTATTTTTAGTATGCTATTATATGCTATAAGAAGCAAGGTTCTGTTATGTCAGAAAATGTCACACCATTTTTGTGTTGTCGAACAATCTTATGTCGTTCTTCTGGTTTACTATGTTATATATATTAGGTTAGAATGCTAACGGAAGAAGAGACACGAACAGGCACGGAAGAACAAAACACCCGCCGCCGCGCTTTTCGAGACGTGCAAGCTTGATTCAAAGAGTGTTCTCGAAGCCCATCATGTGAACGTTGTCTCTGCAAATGGGGGGCTGCGCCCCCCCCAACCCCCCCGCTGTTTTAAGCCGTGCAGGGTTGCTTTGAGAAGCATATGCATTTTTTTGAAACCCAGCAAATGAGGGCGTCTCCGCCCTTGTAAATACGTGCTGAACCAGAATCGCCAAATGAGGGGCGTGTTTAAAGACAGACAAGTCATGATCGAACGAAATAAAGAACGCAAACCCAAAAGAACACAAGGGAATAAGAACAACACAGTAAGAAAGACAGAACAAGCACACTGAATGGCTGCAATTGCCGTATTTCAATTTTTAATCCTTATTTGATTTTTGTTTGACCCTCGGGTTTTTTATCCCTACAACTACAACTAAAACTACAACATACTACACCTACAACCACAACGCCAACAACAACACTACTAGCAACAACTACACCACGAAATCCGTCCTAAATGCGAAATTGTAAGGAAAATTTGATTTTCCCGAGGAATAAGCTAGGTAACGTATGTTTTCCTTCGGAAAACTTGAAGAAATGACACGAACGCCGTAGGTAATAGGAAAATAGGCTTTTTCCCTAGGAAAAACAAAGGAAAACTTAGAGAAATACAACGGAATCCGTAGGAAAATCGTGTTTTCCCTAGGAAAAACCAAGCAAATCCTTAGGAAACGAAAGAAAATCCCTAGGAAAGCAGTGTTTTCCCTTGGAAAAATTCAAGAATTGCTGTATCTAAAAAGCAAGAAAGAAAGACACAAAGAAAGAAAGAACGAGAGAGAGAACGAAAGAACGAAAGCAAAAACAAGAGGAAAAACGAAAGCAAGAACTAAGGAAAGAAACTTCAGGAAATACCACGGAATCCGTAGGAAAATCGTGTCTTCCCGAGCAAAAACCAAGCAAATCCTCAGGAAATGAAAACGAATCCGTATGAAAACAGTGTTTCCCCTGGGAAAAATTCAAAAATTGCTGTATCTAAAGAGGACGAAAGAAAGGAAAACAGAAAGAAAGAAAGAAAGATAGAACGAGAGAGAGAACGAAAGAACGAAAGCAAAAACGAAAGAAAGAACGAAAGAAAGAACGAAAGCAAGAACGAAAGAAAGAACGAACCAAAGAAAGAACGAAAGAAATCAAACCAGAAAGAAAGCAAGAAAGAAAGGAAGGGCGTATGAGATGAACAAAGAAAGAACAACAGAAAGAAAGAAAAGAAATGAACGAGCGAAAGAAAGAAAGAAGTCCAGAATAAAAAAGCAAAGTTGGAAAAGACGAAAGAGAAAGAATATGAAATAATCACAGAAACAAAGATACAAGCAACAGGATACTACATAGTCCAATCGAATTTACCATAATATCGTAATGTACCGTAACATAATATAACATAATGTAACCTAATGTTGTAAAATATACTACATATTATGTTGTAATTATACACACTGTATTGTACTATGTTACAATGTACTACACTATAAACTAAGATGTTGTTTTGTTCTATGTCATCTTCTGTTATAAAGGCTTCGGCAAGACAACTAAGATATCAGCAAAAGGTAAGTAAGATACCGATTTGGGCTTTCATTTGGCCCTTAACCTATCACAACCAATCCCGAGGCTGACACACTCACACATTTTCTCGCTGCCTGTTGCTTGCACTTCCTGACTTGTAATTTTCTAACACATCGGATGTGTCTCTGTGATATGCAGGCAGTCTCAGTCTTGCATTCTGTGTAAGAATTATCAGCCCATACAGTGGTTGTCCTGCTATCCTATCAACTGTAGGACAGAGGACTGCAAGACTGAGGACTGCAACGAATTATTAGGTCATCAAATCGACCCACTCTGCGTATGCACGAACTCTGCTTTTGAACACGTACCACTGACGCTCCCAGGTACGTTTCGAAACGCCGCTCACGTAGACGCGTGGTGTAACGGGTGGATCCCCCGGAGGGGTAGACTGCATGTCCTTGTTGAGCAACAAGAGCTTCGCACGCTGGTACTCCTCGGATTTCTTCATGCTTGCAACCACCCTGACTCGTTTGAGGACTCTCTCAAAGTCTGTTAGTACTCGCCGGTCCGGAGAAATGTCCCTGTCCATTGCCACTGCAAGACTGCAGGACTGAGGACGGCTAGTTTGTGCTGTCAGAGGCCAAAAACTGCGACAACACTCAGTGTGAAACAACTTCTGTGCGACAATGGAGGAAAAAACTACTACTATTGACTACTGTTACTGTTCAGGGTTGGCTGCCCCTTAAGGTAGGCCTCATGCACAGTCTAGCAGTCTTGCTGTTCCATAAGAAGCCCCAGCTACATGTGTCTGTATTTATAATATACATATATATATATATATATCTCTAGGATAATCCTATAATATTACAGGACTAAGCTTAAACAAGACCGTTAGGCTGCATAAGAGGCCTTTCGAAGGCTGCCGGGAGCAATCCGACCTTTTTGAGTGCCTGGCACGTACAGTCTACCAGTCTTGCAGTCCCTAGTAAGCACCCCTAAGAATGGTTATTAGGTCCCTCAACTTAATATAGAAGGACTGGAAGACTGTTAGACTGTAAATTAAGAGTCTGCCTGCAAAGAAGCTTGTCAAGGCCATGTACAGTCTACCAGTCCTGCAGTCTTCAGTAAGCACCCCCATTATAGGTATAGGTCCCAAAATTAGAATAGTATGGGTGGACTGCACGACTGTTAGACTGTAACTTAGGGATTAAGGGTTTAGGTCTAAGAGTCTCCAAGAGGCTCCTTGCCAAGAGACCTTTTGAGGCCATGTACAGTCTACCAGTCCTGCAGTCCTCAGTAAGCACCCCTAGTATAGGTATAGGTCCCAAAATTAGAATAGTATGGGTGGACTGCACGACTGTTAGACTGTAACTTAGGGATTAAGGGTTTAAAGTCTAAGAGTCTCCAAGAGGCTCCCTGCCAAGAGACCTTTTGAGGCCCTGTGCAGTCTATCAGTCTTGCACTCCTCAGTAAGCACCCCTATTTTATAGATCTTATAGCATAGGCCCCAAAATTAGAATAATATGGGTGGACTGCGAGACTGATAGACTGTAAAGAAGTCTTTAAGAGGCTCCCTGCAAAGAGACCTTTTGAGGCCCTGTACAGTACAGCAGTCTTGCAGTCCTCAGTAGGCACCCCTATGTTATCGATATAGGTCCCCATAATTAAACTAGTATTGGTGGACTGCAAGACTGTTGGACTGTAAAACTAAGAGGCTCAGTAGGGCTTCACAAACTCTTCTTCGACACTCACTGAAGCACTTCAAGCCCTGCAAGCTGCTACGAAAAAGCCAAAAGCCACTAGTAGTGGCAGCTGAAGACCTCTCAGGCCCATAGTGCAAGGCCCGTAAGGCAAGTCTGCAGTTTTGCAGACTTTTGGGAGGCTTGCCTCTAGGAAAGCATCCTTCAATGTCCACCCTTGGACGAAAACCGCTGAACACATGTGCCAACTTAGGCACGCAACAGTACCATGGAAGCCTTGTAAGCTTGTAAGGGTAGCTTGAGGCTCGGTAACTCAGGCCAAAACCGCAGTCTACAGTCTTGCAGTCCTCAGTACAACCCCTATTTTATAGTATGTTATGGGTCCCCTAGTAGAATAATGTGGTGGACTGCAGGACTGCTAGACTGCTGAACCTGGAGCTCCGAAGCCACAGCCTTCACACCCGGGAGTCTCATGTAGAGACTTTCAAAACCCCGGACAGTCCTCAGTCCTGCAGTTTCCATATAGTACATACAACTACATATACATATATATATATATATATATATATATGTACTATTTAAGAACATATGGGCCCCTTGTAAACTGCAGGACTGAAGACTGGTTAACTAAGAAGCCCAGCTCACACCAAAGAGCCTCTCACTCCGGCTGCTGTGGCTGCTGGCCTGTGCGTGGCCGCTGGCGGCCGAGCTGGAGGCCGACCTTGGCGCAGTAAGTTTAGACTAAGGGTTTTAATTTAGGGTGTAGGGTTTTGGGGTTTTAGGCCAAAGAGCTTCTCAGTGAGAAGTGCTTTAGATTTGAATAGTGCATAGTGGGGTGTCTCGAAAAGGTCGGTGTCTTACAAAGGTGCCGGGGTCTTGAATCCTATGGTTTGCAAGACGCACACTCAGAACGACAAATGCAGCAGTGCAGATTGTTTTTGCAATCAAGATGAAGCGCAGCTCCGAACAGCTTATTGCTGACTCGAGTGTATTGTATCAGCTTGCAGACAAGGCACAAAATGCTTGGCATACAAAGATTGATGAAACACTGAATGAATCTGGACTCTAAACTGAAAAGTTAGTTTGTGCTATCCTTATGACTCATTACCGGAAACACCAAGCTTGCCGGACTGCAGGACTGCAAGACTGCCACTCACAACTTGGCAATGGAATCCTTTGAAATCCTGGCCTTGCGTTTCATGACTGCCTGAGGCATCATGCCTTTCAGCTTGTTGGCCTGATCATCGTATTCCAAACAAAACAGCACATCGAATTGTGACAAAGAGTTCAGGGCCACAAAACTGGACAGTTTCGCATGCGGCACGACTGGTGGGGGGAACTTCATATGCGGGTCCTCTGGGGCCTCCTCGACACTGGGTTTCAAGCACGCCGGCTCCAATGCAAGGATCTTCCACTCCACGTTGTTGCCATTGACTGTGTTCTCGCAGGAATGCAGGTGGATCGAGGGCTTCGGGAGGCCTGCCACTAACAAGGCATTCAAGATATCCTTGATTGCCCCACCCTTGTTCGAAAACTGCTGAACACTGGGTGGCAAATTCTTGCCGGCTTTGGGTCGAAGCAGCACCTGTGAATCCTCGGTCAATTTGTAAGCATAAACAGCACCTTCCGAACTGCTGATCAGCTCCGAAGCCTCCCGCCCCGTCTTGAAAAATCCATGGATCTGGAACTGCGCTCCTTCAAGAATGCAGTCTGTGAGGCCCTTGACATACAAGTCACCACGGGAGTTCACCCAGAACTCATGGGTTGTCAGGCCTGGCACCTGGCATTTCCCCATATGCTCGAGGTCTGAGGACTGCAAGACTGACGACAAGACTGTCTCGGCAGTGTTGTCCTGCTGCAACCTGGGTCACAGCACATGCACAAACACTTTTACACTGTTTGAAGCAAAGGATCAATCAACAAACAATGCCAGCAAGGGACACTCCCACCTCTGTCTCGGAAGCACGCTTAGCACGGATCACCTCTTGGGGATTGAACTCCTGGTTGTGTTTCTCGAAGAGCTGGTTCCACCCAAGGCCTTTCCAAACCTCACTGTCAGGAAGCAACACCTCTCCACATGACTTAGCTTTGGTGATGGTTTCCCGAAGCCAGTGCAGCTCGTTGTTTCCAGTGGGCTGGGTGAGCTCAAACAGATCCAACTTCAGGCTTGGGGGACTGCTGTTCTGCAAGACTGGCCGAGACAGTAGCGAGGGTGGAAGTGCAACAGGACCGTACTCATTCCTGGCAATGGCAGCTTTGACATGCTCAGTGAACACTTCCTCCACATTCGCGACAATCTGATCCTTGACCTGTGCATTGCCAGCCCATGCGATCCCAACATAGGCGAACCTGGGGAAAGTGCCATTCTTCACAGCATTCATGTTGGCAACTGCAAGACTGAGCTCAGCATCGTAGAGCGACTCATCGCGTACCAACACCGTGTGCTTGTTTGTCAGCTTCGTGCCCTTCACAAGGGATGAGATCACCTCTGCCAGAAAGCCTGCCCCAGAGTACCACTGCTTGCCTCAATGCCAAAAAAACATTGACACAATCATGTGAAACTTGATCAATTATTATTAAGACTGACACACTGTACCAACCCCACAGTAGAAATTCTGCCCTGGCACGCTCAAGGTCTTGATCACCGTTTGTTTTGCCACCCGTCACAAACGACATGTCCTTCGCGAAGTTTTTCATGGACTGTCTCGGGAAACAGCTCACCAGTCCTGGAATGGCTTTCCTTTTCAGCAAGACTGAGGACTGAAACACATTCGTGTCTGCAGCTGCTGAAACGACAACCCATAGCTCAACTCCAAGTGTTCGCTCATCACTGTACATCGACTCGTGATCAAACAGTGCAGTGGCCTTCATCAGCTTGATCTCAGCAACACTTTCAATCTCGGACTTCCAGACTGCTTGGTGGGCAGCCACCTTGTCCTCGCGCTCAGCTTTGGTAAGCTTTCCCAGTCCGAACGCAACCTGGTTGGGTGGAATGATCAGGTAGACTGCAAGACTGCAGGACTGCTGGAGCTCCGAAGCCATGTGACCCACCATAGCCGTCACACATGATGATGCAGCGGCACCCAACATGGGAATGTTGATCACCGTGATGACTGGAATCTGCTTGACATCCTGCATCAAACGACTGGCAAGTGTCCTGTGTGTCGCATGTTCGAAAGCCTGCCCCACTCCCAATGTCTTGCTGGCATTCACCTGATAGTAGATCAAGTGCTCACCCCATGCACTTTCCACCCCCTCTGCAATGGACTTCTGGTACTCGGCTTCGGCTGCCACTGTCTGCACCATGTGTCGTTGGAAAGCCACACGATGGCCTCGCATCTCATCCTGCTCTCTCTTGAGGGACCTTGCAAGGTTTGTCAGACAGCGCACTGCCTCCTGAGCAGCTTCATCCTCCACCAGGTCAGAGGACTGCAAGACTGCAAGACTGTTGCTGGCCTCTTCTTGCTGCATCCGGAGCCCCAAATCGGTCAAGCTGAAGTCTGGCCTCATGGCTGCCACTTCCGGGAAGAGCTTCTGGTCCAAGTGTCCCAGTCGCCAATGGGACATCATCTTGTGGTACTCGTCCGGACTCATATCCTTCATCATCTGGTCCTTAAAGTGCACCATGACACAGGCCATCAGGTAGACTTGGGACTCTCTGCCAGAATCACGGAACCCTGCACAGATGGATGACTGATGAATTGGGGGTGGCTGCTGCCTGTCGACATACTCCTGGATCTTGCCATTCCACTTAGCCTGCAGTCTCTGCAACATCTCCTCGATCTTTTCCCAAGAGAACTTCACAATCTCATGCCAGACCTTGCTCTGAGTTCATAGCTAAATGTGTTAGTAGTAGTAGTAGTAGTAGTAGTAGTAGTAGTAGTAGTAGTAGTAGTAGTAGTAGTAGTAGTAGTAGTAGTAGTAGTAATAGTAGTAGTACTAGTAATGGTAGTGGAAGTCGGTTGTAGTCGTTCTAGTAGTAGTGGCTCCGAAATACAAAGGTTAGAATGGGACTGAAACCAAAATCAAAATGGATATCTCAACACTGCAAATGACTCCAGCCCTGAAACAGGACAATACTTGAATGCTTATCCAGGAACTGGGTTACCGGTAGGCGAGACCTTCAGGTTGCCACTCAGCTGCTTGGTCGGGTTAAAGAACCTGGGCTGTTGTTTGGATTGGTTTCTGGGACTTTTAACACTTAAACTCAGAGACTCAAGTGCACACACCAAACAAACAAATATAAATTCCACATGGACCAGGAAACGGCTGTGCAATGCACGACAAGGGAACAGCAGTGTGATGCGGCGCTTCTGTACCCCACACCAACTTGAGCATCCGACGAACATGTGCTGGTGCCAAATCATAAACTTGAATGGCAGCAATCTCATCGGGGTTTATGCGGGACTTCGAAACAGTGCTCTTGTTGTGTCGGTTGATCGCCTCTGTCATCATGTCCTTCCGAAGTTTGCGGGATCCTGCTGCCACCTTCGCTACCACAATCTTGTCGAACCTTAAGGTCCACAAGGAACAACAGCATTGTCACAAAGAGCAACACACACACACACACACACACACACACACACACACACACACACACACACACACACACACACACACACACACACACACACACACACACACACCCACACACACACACCCACACACACACACCCACACACACACACACACACACACACACACACACACACACACACACACACACACACACACACACACACACACACACACACACCACACACACACACACACACACACACACACACACACACACACACACACACACACCACACACACACACACACACACACACACACACACACACACACACACACACACACACACACACACACACACACACACACACACACACACACACACACACACACACACACACACACACACACACACACACACACACACACACACACACACACACACACACACACACACACACACACACACACACACACACACACACACACACACACACACACACACACACACACACACACACACACACACACCACACACACACACACACACACACACACACACACACACACACACTTTTACCACAAGAGCAGTCATTCACACTTCTGCATATATCTGGTGACTTAGACCCAGACAGGAAGTGCATGTTAATGATCGAGGGCCTGCTTCTTGCACTTGCATCCGTCTTAATGCGCAAACTCTCCATGGACTGCTGCTCGACTGAGGACTGAGGACTGCAGGTGCCGAAGATACCTGCAGTCCACATCTCATTCAAGCAGGTTGAAACAGGAACTCAAACTGGAAATTAAATGTTTTCTCACATGTGTCCATCATGTCCCAGTTGCAGAGACAGCTCATCAATCGGCCCGCCACATCCTTCTTGACATGGTCCAGGACTGTTGGACTGTTCATCCAATCAAGCTTCATCGCAGCATAGGCGAGAAGATGGCATGCCATGGTAACAGTCGTCCCAATGCTGACTGCGACACTGAAGGCCTGGATCAATGACCCCGGTGCAGGGCTAGACGATTTCCACGCAGTTGGCCAATCAAACAGAATCTCCAGCGGGAACTTGTGTGTCTCACACCCCATCCCTGTCATGAACTTCTGTATGCAGTCCCGCACTCCATGGAGTTGTGGGGCCCCCTTGACATGCGAGGCTTCATGACCGCCAAGCTGCCACAGTCGCAAAGGGAACCGCTTCAACATCTTGCTACTGCCCTCCTGGAGGTCTGCAGGACTGGGGACTGAGGACTGGAAGGAGGTCACCCCAGCTCCAGCCACTGCTTCACAGCTAGCCAAGAGCTGCTCCAGATTTGCCTGGTGAGCCGACCTCTCCCCATCGGAGCCTAGCTTCTGACCCAACCATTCACAAACATCTGTGAATTGTGGCTGACCATCTGCATTCTTCACATCCAGCTCTGCTTTGAGGACAGCCATAGCCTCACCATACAAGGTGTAAAGTTGTTGCTGATTCGCAACAGGTTCGGGGTCCATGGCTAAAAAGACAGCAGGACTGCAGGACTGCAGGTGCTTGTCCTCCAAAATCTTCATTAGCCAAGGGCCACACACACACACAACATGAGAGAGGAGCTTGCATCGACAAGGAAGCATAACACAGTCACTGCAGTGACTTCATACATAACACTCACAAACGCATTTTTTGTCGGGCTTCACTGACTATCGATCCTTGCTTCCACAACATGGGCACGGGCATCTGGATTACTTCTGTGTCCACCTCAATCCCCGGAGCCAGTTGAGGCCCCGGCTGAAACTGATATTACACCAGTCCGGTTCAACTGCTGAGTGGAGTCGACATTCTTTAACTATTTGAAATTCTTCAAGTGCAAGGGACAGTTGAAACCACACAGTATGCAAAGACTCCATTACAGCCTCATCTTCACAATAGATCGGTCCTCTGGCATGCACTGTGCACACTCTCGGAAGATCACTGACAGCTGATTCCTGAACTTGGCTACACAAGACCAATGTGTTCAAAAAGCAGAGAGCAGTCACTGCTACAATTCCTCATCATTCAGATCAAGGACAGTATCTAGCCACATAATGCAAGGATTCAGGCCAGTGCTTCTTCCGAACCCCCTTAAAATTGTGACAGTAGCATCTGGATGTTCCACCCAGCCACATCACACTGAGGACTGAGGAATGCAACAAGGTTGTCGACACGAAATGCCCCAGAATCAAAACTCTTCCCCAGATGTTCCAACAGCCACTTAGGACTCAGGACTGAGGACTGCAAAACACATTCAGCCCTCAACCTGCTTCTTGAAGGCTTGGATGATCTGGACTGTGGTCATGTCCGCATCTGCAATACTGTAGAACAGGCGCTCATTCTTCTCATTCCAATGGCACTGGGGAACGTACCTGTAGAACATCTCTCTGCGCAAATCCCACAGCTTGGCTGCATCCTGGTTCTTGTTCCTGTGTCGACCAGCAAAAGTGACCTTGTCTGGCCACTCCACGTTCACATTCTTGTGGAGCACAATCTCCAGTGCATCTCGGTCTGACTTGGTCGGGCTGATCTCGGACTGAGGACTGAGGACTGCTGACTTGGCCGGACTGCCCTGGGAATCCTTGGGGTCCTGCTTGTCATCCTCCTCACCCTTCTGGCTCTCCATTGGGGTCCTGCTTGTCATCCTCCTCACCCTTCTGGCTCTCCATGGGGTCCTGCTTGTCATCCTGGTTGCCATCCTTCTTGTCATCGTCCTGGTCCTTCATGGGCTCGAGGGCTGCAGTGTCTGCCTCCTTCTCATGCATCTCCTGGTCGATGTCCTGCAAACCCTGAACCAACAACACTCATAGGCTGGGGAGACTATTAAGTGCAATAAAAGTTCCGTCCTTGCTTGCTTTGGAAACCGAAGCAGCAGGCCGTTTGAGACTGGCAGGCTTCTTCATGACACCCGACTTTGCCTTTGCCTTGCCTTTGGGCCAGCCCTTTTTCTTGGGAAGTGGCTGCTGCTGGACTGCGGACTCTGGGGCAGGGGTGAGAGGGTCAGTCTTGGCTTGGGTCTTGGCTTGGGCCTTGGCCTTGGCATCTGCTTTCTTCTGTGCTTTGGTCTGCACCAACTGGATCGGACTGCCTCCATCTGCTGTGCCTGCAGTAACATCCTCCACAGAAGCACTGGGAACTAGACCTGCCTTGTCTGCTGCGAGCTTCTCTCTACTTGTGATTGTGCCGAACAAGACCCGGGGCTTCACAGGCGACACCTTCTCACCACTCAGTGGATCAGCCACCTTGTGCGGTAGCGCAGCTGGGGTGACATTCTCTTCCATCTGAATGTCTCCCTGTCCATCCTCGGGCCAGTCAATCGCATCACCTTCAGCATCGTCTTCTAGCATCGGGATAGAAGCAGCCATGAATCCTCCGAACATTGTGGTGAGACAGCTCAGACAAAAGACTGCAAGACTGGACCACAGCTTGACCTTAACTGAATCTCAGCCAGAATGCAATCATCATAATTCATATCAATGAGGCAGACAAGTTCAAGGCACTTTGCAGGCACAGCACACAGACACAGGCAACAGTGCATTGCTCACTCCAGGGTCCAGTCCTTTTCCACGCACAAACAAACACTATGATGCCGAACACAAAATCAGCAGCCTGCCCATGGATCATCCTCTGAAAGTCCACCGGGCAAAGACTCTGCTACACAGGAAGATCTTGCACTGGGCTTCTTCATGGCTTTCATGGCACACTTCCGCGCTTTTGCTTTGGATTTGGACTTGGCTTTGGGCTTGGCTTTCATCGCAGTCCGGGCTGCCGGCTTCTTCGGAGCAGAAGTTCCAGACTCTCCAGCCTCTCCCCAGGGATCATCTTCGGGTTCTTCTTCATTGAAAAGGGCTCCGATCTGATCAGGTGTCAAATCTGCCCACCGCCGAGGAACATCAGCAGCAGGACTGAGGACTGCAGGACTGAGGACTGCAGAACTGACACCAGATGTACTGCTTGGCAAAGGATGCTTTCTCTCCAGCAGACTGGGTTTTGCATCCGGAGCAAAACGAATCAACCAAGCAAGTACAATTGATTCACCCAGTGATGCAGGGTAAAGACCGCTTGCCTTCAGGTCTGCATTTCCAGTCTTCTTGGTTGCTCCACCCTTCTCCTTTTTCACATCCATCAATGGCAGGTGCTTCTCTTTGCAGGTGCATGGACTGTGCACAGCTTTTTTGAACCAGCAAGGACTGAAGACTGCATGACTGGGGTGCAAGCACAGGAACTTGTACCTTTTGCCATATGTAGGTCTCTCGGTCACAAAGGCACAGCGGTCAACAAGGAAGAACAGAGGACTGAGGACTGCATCCAGCGCTAAGATGTGTGCCTTCAGGTATGAGAACAGTGTCGAGCCCACTGGGTTCTCCAAACAAACATATACACCTCGTGCTGCTGCCAAGACAAACAGGAAGAACGACACCTCAGCCATGAAGTTCCCATGCCTGACAGTGGGATTGCCAGTGTCTCCTGCAAAGTTTTTCTTGGTGCGCTTGGTCTTACTTGAGCATGCCCAAGAAAAGCTGGAACAATCGGGTGCAATACACATCAGACCAGCTTCCTTCAACCGCATGACCATCCGAATTGCTTGATGAAAACCGGTCTCTGACAAGACGTCCCCTTGCCCTGGGTTCATGTAGTCGAAACTCTCTGCACTCAGCCCACGTGTTTCTGCCGCATTGACCAGTGTCTTGGAAAGACTGAAGACTTCCAAAACATGAAGATCACGAGGTCCCTGGCAAAACAGTTCAGACTGGAGGATCCCAATGACTGTCAATCCGAAGATCTCCAGCCGACATGTCCGTGCAACTCCGGAGCCACTCTGCATCTTGGGGACACTGTTGAAGCGGACTGCCGGACTGCAGGACTGCCTCAAAACTCGAGCCATGAATTCAGAGTGTGTGACAGTCGATACTGACTCCCAACAACTGACTGAGTCTGATAACTGCTAACTACCTGCTCCAACTTGGCAGCCATACTTTAATCCTCACCAGCAAAGTCACGCCCAATCTTCAACTTTGCAACTGCAAGACTGCTCAGCGGTGAAACTTGGCCATCAGTTTCCAGCATGAGTTAGGCAAATATGGCAATTGTGCAAAGCCTTCTGGCTCTGGACTGAAAACTCTTGGTGCTTGTCTCATAAACTCCAAACTATGCACATCATAGCGCCTCACAAAAACAATCCCTCTCAAAGCCTTGGCAGCTTCTGTCATGCCATACTTGTCTGCCAGGTCTGACAATTTTGTGAAAGTGTCAATCTGGACGCCAGACAGCTCAACTGCAGCATGAACCCCAAGTGGGATTTCGGGGAATACTGATGCAATCTGGGCCATGCTCGCAACCTTGACCGGGGGCTGGCTCAGGTTCAGGTCACGGGAGTACATTTTGACGCACACATAGACTGCTGTCCCATCCAAGCCCTCTTCCATCATCTCCCTGTGCTTCAAACACATCGTATCACCAGTGATCATCGTGAAACAGTGAGGAATTTCTGGAAGGTTTCCTGCTCGTGCAAGTGGATGCTTGTGACTTCTTTGCCTCAATGCATTGTACAAAGTTACCCCCATGGGCTGGAGCCAAGAATCGAAATCTCGAACTGCTGTCACATGTCTGGCAGAAATTTGTCCTGGTCGTTGAGCATGAGAACTGGTCTCCAAGCCTCAGTTGCATCAGGTTCTATCTGTTCGGGACAATCCGGCACACTGGCACACATGCTGTACCTAACTGCAGTCCTATTTGGCAGCAAGTAGCAGGACTTGATATGTTGCAAAATCTCATCCGGAGTTTGCCAGCTTGCCTTCTTCTTCAGGTATGAATACACAACTGCAAAGAGCTGATCCAAGTCTTCGTGCGTGTGGCCAACCATGAGCTGAAACAGAGTCACTGATTTGAAAATTTTGCGGCCCACCAGGTAAGACAGAAATCGCAGCACATACTGGTTCTTTGCCGACTTTGTGGTGTTGTCAGCAACTAGCACCAAATGAGATGGCCAAGACTGAGGACTGCAAGACTGCCATACCTGCTCCAAAGTCTGACACAGGACCTCCAAAAAATAGTCCGATCCCCCAACAACTTGTGGCCCGGCCATATACAGGAAGGTGCCCCATCCATGTGCATATGCACCTGTGAATGTGACTGTTGGTCGTATCAATCCATCCATCTCATGTGGCTGTTTGCCACCGTGGCCATGCAAACTTGCTGTGATCCATGTCATCGATCATAACAGTGAGAACTGTTCCTGACTGCAAGGGCTGCTTGGACTGCTGCTTGGACTGAGGACTGCAAGACTGTGCTTGGACAGTCGAAGCCCATCTCAGAGACCAATACAGCAAACGATCTTGGTACTGATCCTTTTGATGCTGCCGCAACAATTTTGCAACCTCCAGCTTTCGACTCCATGACACTTTGGGGCTACGCAGCATCATCTGCAGGTCAAAGCATCGCTGGCACTGCTTGTGCTGACTCTTTTCACGCATGCGAATCATGTTGC